AGCTTTTAGATGTAGAAGGTGTAATGGAAAGTTTGGGGAAGGGGAGGGGGGATCAGAGTTTGAAGCAAATGGGGGAATGTGCTGAGCAACGTGGTGATGAGCTCACAGCGGGAGGCAAGTGACATGGAGTGTGAACTACTTTGGTGAAAAATAATGGAGGGTGAGGTGTGATGGCCCAACCCTGGGATGACTTTTGTGTGGGATACATAGTCAATTCTAATGAATCATAAGGAGGCGGGGAACATGTGTGTTGGGAGGAGAGGGCTGGGATGGACATGGTGTTTTCACCAGTTCTTAAAGGGCTTCCCTCAGAGCTAAGAGACAACTTTGCTCAAAGCAGACAGTCCAATCTGACTCATCATTCAAACAATTCAGTAATATCCTGTTACCTGTACTGTCTATTTAAGAAAGGGACCCCTACCTGTGTGGGCTGGTCTCACCTGGGCTTGGCCCTGGAGGGGCCATAATGGTAGCAGCTACACGTAGTCCAGAAATAAGAGTGTTGTTCAGCCCTGGACCTGATTCACAAGCTGTGAGTTAAAAAACACACTTTTCATCAGCTAAACTTTCTATTTGAAGCTCTACAGTAAGTCCAGTAAATCTCAGCTGCCTGGGGAACTGTTAGTGTTCCAAGTCACTTCGCAAAAGAGGCCTTTGAGCTGGGCAGTGCTAACGTTCAACTCATTCCCCACTGGTGCTGTTAAGAAGACTATAAAGAGAATAATGAAATAGACCTTTGGGAGCCACAAATCCAGCACTCTTTCCCTGTAGTTTATGAATTCAAACAAGGTAAAATGTGTCCAGCTCTGGCTGCTTTCTTGGAATAAAAGAGTGGAAGGCGCCTGGGTCCTAAGTGTGTTTTCAGGTCTCGCGGGGTGCGGGTAGGTTGTTACACACAAGACCACCTTGACGGCACAGGCTGGGTAGGTCTTTTTATATCATTAAAAAGACTCCCTAGACTCTGCACCACAGGCACCTTTGCATGTGCTGTTCCATGCATGCTCCAGGGAGGTCTCTGCCCCAAACCACCTCCCTGTCTGCTAACTTACAACTCATCCTTCAGGACTTACATCATAGTCATGGCTCGTGCCCAGCCTCACCTCTGTGACCCCTTATGTCCACAGTACATCATCTCATGTGGTAATCATTGTGAACTAGGTATCCCAGGGCACCTAGCACAGTGCTGACCTGGCTTATGGAGGCCTTCAATAAATACTCGCTAACAGTGATGCTGATGTAAGTGTAGGTATGTTCACTGGCCCATATTCTTAGGCACTTTCATTGTATTTTACCCAATACCTTTAATGCCCAATGTCTTCCTCAGTGTCCACATAGACAGAGTTGATGCAAAACAGTTACAGGTGGTTCTTTAGACATTATTCCCAGATCACAACTGTAATTGTATTAACTCAGAATAGAAAGGATGCTTTGGGTTGCCTCTTCCTTGTCATCGTCTCCGGCAGATTATCTGAGAAAAGATGAAATTAGAGTACTTGGGAAGGGGACACAATTATATCCTCTGCTGCTGTGCATGCTAGTGTTTCATTGCCAGCCTGTTTCCTGAGGCCAGAATCTTGTTATGTTCTCTAGAAGCTGTGGCACCCTTTCAATAGAAGTAATCTGAGGGCTGACAACTACTATTTATTGAGCACTTACTATACTCCAGGTACTGTGCTAATCATTTCACTTAATCATTTCTCGAAAAAATTCAGTGAGGAAGAGGCACTATTATTATCCCTATTTGATGGAAAGGCAAATTTAGGCTTATAAACATTATGTAATTTTTCTTAAGTTTGTGCATCTAATAAATGGCAGAGTTGGGATTTTGATCCAGGTCTCTGAATCCAAAAGTTCACACATATTCTTTTCTAGGATGCTACTCTAAGCAGAACACAGATCTGCAATGTAAGGAACAGTGGGGTTTGTGGTTGGCTTCCCAGTCTTTAATCCTCTCCTGAATTTCCAAGGGGAGATAATTATATATCAGTGATTTAAACTATCCTACCTGGGAATAACTTACTTTTTTTAAAAGGAGCCCTCCTCACCTTGTGAATAAATAGGAACGACATTATTTAAATTCCACTTGGACTTTTTCGTCAGTTCATAATAAAGTTACATGTAAAATCTACATTTCAGTTGGCTTCATGTCCTAGGCACTTCTATTTTAAATGTTCTCTAAAGGATATCCAGCCATATAGTTTGGTGAGTAAAACCAATACTATAGACTCAACACTTGGAAGCAAATCTTTTCTCCTGAGCTCATAATTTAAGAATCATTGCAGTTGCCTAAAGAGTTTTAAAGAAGTGTATACAGGATGTGGCAAATGAACCTTTGATACTACTTACTTATTTCCAATTTATTCTTATGTCAATTTGCAGTTGATTTTTTTCTAGGCTTTCAGGAGAGTTAATATAAGAACCAGTAGAAACCCAGATGGACAAGCTGTTCATAGTATCCATTGATTGGAAATCATCATCACTGAGATTTATAGTTAAAATTAATCACAATATCCCTCATAAATCAAAGGCCAAATTTACTGCTAACTCTCCATGCTGGCACTCTGTGGCATAATAATGCTGTAGGTGGAGAGATTTAAGATCAACGAGATATTATTCTCATGCCTTAAGAGATATTATTCTCATGCCTCCATTTATCAATACAGCTATCAATGGAGCTAAGTAGCAGGCACTGAGATAAGCACAGTACATATCACCTTTAAGTATTACAACATCTTTGCTTTGTAGGAGTTACCTCCACTTTACAGATGAAAAAACTGAGGTCCAGGGAGGTTAAGTGACTTGTCATTGCCTTGCATATCTTGCCTAAGGCATGTTGAGATGCATATCTTAGTCTGTCTGGCTCTCAGTTTCCTGCAATTATCGTTCATTCCCCCTTGGTGCTTCTTAACTTGGTGAAGAAAATAATCAGACATGGGAAAGGCTAAAAGAGATATACCCAAATTGGGAGCACAAAAGGTAACTCACTCTGCATTGAGATCCTAGGAAGTGCCATAGAGGAGCTGACATTTGATTTGGCAAAAAAAAAAAAACAAAAACAAAACAAAACAAAACAAAACAAAAACCATAGGAGTGCGCTAGATAGAAGGAAGGCAGTCAGATGGGCACAATAATAGGAGGTGGAAAGTTCCAGAGGCATGAAATAGCATGGCAGGCGTGGGGGGAAGTGGCAGGAGATGAGAATGAAACTCAGGTTAGAGTCGTATACACTGTGTGAAGGGCATTTGAATGTTATTAGCAAGGCTACAATATGATCAGAAGAGTGACTTAGAAAGGGCAGTCTGCAAATGAAAGTAGAGGAGAGATATTGGAACACAAGTGGCTGGGTGCGATGCTTTCTTTGAGAGATGGGGAGAAACTGATCAAAGAGAGCAGATGAAAAAGGTGAGGATGGGTGGACTAAACAGTATTTGGTGAGTGAATTTAAAAGTGAAGAAGAGGGCAGAGTAGAGAAAAATCAGAGTTAACATTTATGGAGTCCATCCTGTATACTAGGTGCCGTTCTCAGCCTAATACAAGCTACCTCATTGAAACCACTTAACAAATCTGTGAGAGCAGTACTTTTATTATTCCCATTCTACAGATGTAAAAAAGGATGCATAGAAAATTCAGCAACAGCTGGCAAATTGGAGAAAATGTGAACACAGGCAGTTTGACTGCATAGCCTTTGATTTTTACTATTGTATCATACAGCTCCCTGGATGAGTCTGAGGTTTTTGTCAACAAAGACAGGGACTGGGAAAAGATGAAAAGGTAGAGAGAGCTATTGAGATCATTTTTACACATTTTGAGCTTGAATTTCCTTTAGGATATCCAGGTGGGAGTATTTTGTTAAAGAATTGGAAAGAGAGAGAAAAGGGAACTAAAGATAAAGAAGGTATTGCTACATAGACAGTGGTTGATACCAAAGGACCACGTAAGTTTGCTCTGTGTAAGGATATAAACAAAAGCAGCACAGTGACAAGAATGAACTCTGTAAAGTCTACTGTCCCCTTGAAAATAAATACAAACATAGAACCTTCAAACAACATGAATCCCATAAACTCCAGTAGTATTTATTTCCAATTTTATCTTTTGTGACTTTCTGTTCTAGCGTGACAAAGATTTATTTCGATTATTGCCTCATCGAACTGTGAATTTTTCTCAGTCTCTGGCAGATTATCTGAGAAAAGATGAAATTAGAAGCCCTGGGCTTCTCCAGAAAGTTATCATTACTGATGTTCACAAATTTATCAAAACTGGACCTTTAAAGATTCACATTTTAAATTTATTGTGAATAAATGTTTTTGACAGGGGAGAATACTGTACAAATTAGAAGCAAAATAGTTTCTTCCAATCTTGTCTCCTCCTCCTTCTGGCCCCCTTCCCCTGCATCAGCTCCCTCTTGCTGCAAACTGCCTTTTCCCTCTGTTGTGCTGAAAGAATCCTAGATGACAACAGAGCAGCCGGACTGAGTGAAAGCAGACTATATGGCACACACTCTAGCAGTTTAACTGAGAGAGACACGGTAATACTATTTCACTGTTTGCGTTGTGGGTGGGGAGGTGGGGGGCCGGGGTTGGAGTAGAGGACACGTGCTCAATGTAGGCACTGGTTAGCCAGCATTGTTCTTCAACTTCCCAATGGCAGGAAGAATCTCCCTCATAACCATCCAGTAGAAGGACAGAGTAATTCAAGGCATGACTGCTTAAATGCTCTTTTTTAAAAAAAACATGCTTTCCGTCTAAGGTGCATCCTGCATAGGAGACATACATCTGTGGAATGGGCAAGGCAGACCAGGGGGCTTGAGAAGGGGACTTTTTTACATGGTCCAAAATCTCCTGTGTCAAAGCATCTCACCAAGAAAACTGAGCAGTGTCAAGGGCAGAATTTACAGAGCAATTCAAAGGTTCCTGGTGATTCTACCGTAATTTATAAAATTATTTACATTTCTCTTTTTGGTCATGGCAAGGTCCATTGGCACAAACAGCACAGCCACAGAGTATTCTTTTTGATTTTAATAACTCATCTTATATATATTTATATATCTGCTTATTTTCATTTCCTCAGCAAAAGGGGAAATAAAAATATTGATCTATAAAATAAGCTGATGATAACACAATGCCAAAAATAGCTTAAGTGCAAGGGGTGAAGCTTGAAAGCAAGCTAAACTGCAATGACATACTGATTTAACATTTTAAATACAAGACTTGCAATAAAATAATTATTGAGATATGTTTCTCATTTTTAGTTTACTTTTTAAAAACTACTCTATATACACATATCCAGTTGTAACACTTGACAGTAGCATTATGGGGCATGATACAACTTTGGTACACATTGCAGATATGAATGGGCAATGTCTGTAAATGATATGTCTTCCCCAGTTAGAACTCTGTACAGCCAGGTGACCAGCCACCTGATCCTATATAATATTCCCACCAGAACCCCCAGAGTCTTCCCCAGAGCCACTGGAGACAGTGGGAGAAATCAGCCTCACTGGATCCATATCGTGTTTCCTCTCTCGGTTCTCCTGGGTTCCACTGTCAGCTCCCCAAATGTGGAAAAAAACTGCTCCATTTCTTTCTGAAGCATGTCATTTCTCTTCTCTGCATCTTCTTTTGCTCGCTCAGCATTTCGCATTTTGATTTCTATCATTGTGAACTTTTTCCTTTCTTGATCCAGTTCATCGTGGAGGCTCATCATTTCTGTTTCCAAAGACAAGTTTCGCTGTTCTAAGCTACAAAGGGTGGGGGAAGGAATAAGACATAAAGCAATTTTATTAATTTGAAATTCAAAAGGGCTAAAAAATATTTCCTAAACTGTCTCTGCAATGTTTAGGAAATTGGATTGAGCCTTTCAAATCAATGAAGCAAGGTCCACGGATTAAAAGGTGTATATATATTCTTTTTTTTACTGATTCCTAACATGATTTACCATCATTTTGTTGAGACCCCAAGACCTCTCTTGAATGCACTTCATTGTCATTTGATAGCGAATTAATGAATTTTGGCAAAAAGAAGTCAGAGACCAATGTCATGGAGCACAGAATGGCAGAAGTAGGAGGCAACCTAAACCACAAAGCTTCCTGAATCATTATGTAAATCTGGCTTTACTAACAGAAAGGGGGGGGGAGTCTGATAAAGTTGGAAGAAAAAAAGGACAATTATTTTTGCTTTCTATCAAAGGAAAAAGAAAGATAGTGAAAATGTCTTTGTTAGAAAGGTTAAGTCAACAGCTAAGAATGGGCTTCCCTGGGACATATAGAGTCCCATCATATAAAAGTGGTATTAACAGCAGTCACCGTATAGTAAGTAACAAGAGAGGTAGAGATTACATGTATTGAATAAGTAATTCATCTGACATTCTGTGACAATGGAGTCCACCTAAGTAGCCTACTATCTAAAATTCTCACTGCCTTCCAAGTTAATATATCTTAAGATCTCTAGAGTTATATTTTTATAGGTTGATAGCTACATTCTTTTGGATAACTGTATAATTTTAGATAATTTCCTATAAACAGAGTTTTCCCAATAATCACTAAGTTCCAAAACATAATTTATTATTGCTGTTGTTCAAGGAGGAATAGTAAGCACTTGATTATTAGATGATGTGTTTTGGTAATGGCTGACATTTTAATTTCTCCTATTCTGAGCCTAAGTCCCAGGAGTATGTTTGAATTTGACATACTATTGAAATATGAAAGGCTAATGCACAGGTAGCTCTCAGAAATCTGATTATTTTAATAATTTTCAAATTAAAATCTCAATTATTTTTCTGTTTTGAAATAATGAGTCCCATATGTTGATATTTCATCCAGATAATTATAAGAACACTTAAAGATGAATCTGCTCTCCCTTTGTAAGAAACTAGAATTTTTTAAAAAGTCACATTCTATAATCAGTTTAGAAGGCCATTTTGACCACATGATCACATTTTTTACATAAAAACCTGGTAGTGTGCTGGTTGTCACCCAGAATTACTTTACAATACATTCTCTTTTCTTTCTAAAGCTATTTATTTTAGAACTAAAAAAGCTGGAAGAAACTCAAGCTTAAATACCAAGGAAGACACCTTTTAAAAAATATACTAATGCATTTTACATAACAGGCACTATATGAAACTTCCAAGAATCTAGACTGGGTTGAAAACAGAAGAAACCCCTCCCACTGTAAGCACAGATCAATGCTGGAAAAATATATAAGAAAAATATTTTTTAAATACATAGCAAGGTTAAAAGAAATAAAAGAGCATCTTGAGGTTATCAGAACCAAGGAAGAAACTCAAATTTAGAACAGTAAATGGAAGCACATGAGGGGTATTGTTCCTGGATAGAAGCCCTGGAAGCTGTGACTAGGTTTTTATTTTGCTCATGGGGAGGAGGAGATCTCCAGTATAAAAGAGGCAGAAGGCTGAAAGTGATTCAACTGAGAGCTTGGAACATCTATTTTCTTTATGACAAAGAGAATACAAAAACTCTACTCATGGGCTGAGTGGTGACAGAATTAATCAGAAGAGAAAATAAATAAATGAGAAAACAGCTCTGAGGAAAAATTACCCAGAATTCCTCACGTAGTGAAAAAAGATGAAAATGTAATATAAGAAAGAGAAGCTAACAGAGATGGAGAATGGATTAAGAAGGTCCAACATACTTTAATAAGGGTTGGAGAGACAGAAAATTGAGAAAATGGGGAGATGAAATAAACAAAAATGGTGATGGATAAAAATACTCCAGAATTGAAAAAAATATGTCTTCAAATAATGAAACATAAAGTTCAAAAGTTAATGGAAATATATAGCAGAACGTTATTAATCAAAATAAAAATTATATAGCAATATTAATATGAGAAGAAATATTTTTGGGCAAAAAGCATTATTACCATTACTTTATGATAAAATGATCAATTCATCAGGGAGATATAAACAATTCTGACCTTTATTCATCTAGCTGTATAGTTTCAAGTTATTCAATATAAAATATAACAAAATTATAAAGATAGATAAATCCACAAAAATTAGGAAATTTTAAGATAACTTTCTTAGAAATTATAGCTCTATCTGATGAAAATTAGGAGAAATGTAAAAGATTTGAACAGCTTGATTAACAGATTTGATCTATTGGTCATATATACAATCCCAAACCAATAATAAGTTAATAAATACTTCTTACAAGACCAAATAATTGATATCATACAAATGAATTTTTCTGACCACAATATGATAAAGGGAGAAGGTGAGGGGGGAGGGAATAACATCAAACTCACATGTTTAAAAACTAAAAATCATACATATCAATGATAGATAAAGTATAGTATCTATTTCTCTATCATCTTTCTATCTATCTAGGGATGTATGTATGTATGTGTGTATATATGTACGTATCTATTATCTATCTATCCTGTCTATCTATCTATCTATCTATCTATCATCATCTATCTATCCTTAATACTTGTAGGGTAGAGTTAAAAAGGAATTGAAAGACAAATGTATAATTCTAAACAGGAATGATCAAGAATTAACTAGAACAGTTACTTCTTATATTTCTGTGGCTTGGTCATGTGGCAGCTCCTCTGCCCTACTTTATCATGGACCTCTCCCTTTGCCTGTCACATGGGTAAAAATGCTACAGTGGGGCTTCCCTGGTGGCGCAGTGGTTGGGAGTCCGCCTGCCGATGCGGAGGACGCGGGTTCGTGCCCCGGTCCGGGAGGATCCCACGTGCCGCGGAGCGGCTGGGCCCATGGGCCATGGCCGCCGGGCCTGCGCGTCCGGGGCCTGTGCTCCGCAGCGGGAGGGGCCACAGCAGTGAGAGGCCCGCGTACCACAAAAAAAAAAAAAAAAAAAAAATGCTACAGTGAAAGAGGCCAATGAATGACATTCTGTTGGAAGCTTCTATTATTTTATCAATGTCTCTAAAATGCACCATAGACTCAGAACATAAATGTAGCACCAATGTTCTCATAAATGAACCTGTACATCTGCAACCATTCAGAATAATGTATTCCTATCCTAAGGTAAGTTTCAAGTGTTATCTCTTGCTTCTCAGTGCTAAGTGCTAATTTATCATCATGCCTTGGCAGCAATTCAGAGATTTGGTAGCCAGTGGTTCCAAAAACTACATTCAGAATGAAGAGTAGCCTTATAAGATGATGACTCCATTTTTCTTCTTATTTAAACCTCCTGTCACTTAGCATTATATAGGAAAATTCAAACCAAGTTTCTGTTTCCAAGAAAGTAATTTTTTCAATCTAACATATAAGAAGCATTTTTTTAATATTTACTTTACCATAGCTCTTAAAAATACATATCTTTTTGCTTGATAATTGATAAATGGATGGGAAACATTAAAATACATTAAGGTCAACTTTATATATAAAAATGAAACCACGTGGGGTTTGGAGCCATGGAAGCATTTGAAGCAGGACAAAGACTGAGGTTCACAAACTATGAGGACCCTAAACAAGAAGGGGTCTACTAAGGCACAGTCTGGGACTGGGACTGAGGCCACTAGAGGGGCTACTTCAGGCTAAACTGAGCCTCAGGCCTTCTCTTGAGAGTGCAGTGTCCTTCCCTTATACTACACTGAAAGGAGAACATAAAAACAATCAGTTTTGTAATTCTGTGACCTTGGTGAAATCACGGGGTGTGCTGATGTTCAGGTTTCCAGCACAAGGTTGTATTTGTGAATCCTGGGTTCCATTCTCTGTATTCCTGCCTTTCAAGATGATGGAGCATCTGGCAGTCAGGGGTACTGTCAACACAGGATGCTCAGCCAATAGCCCATGTCTTGCCCAGGTTGCTTCTCTGAAGTTGCTAAGCCATCGCCACCTCGGTCAACTTACGAGAAGACGTCAACTGCTATCAATTAGGTTTCAGCACAACTGCTTCCTTATAATTCATATGTTTTGCTCCCCACTTAGGCTACAATTTCCATTGTCCATATGAATACACTTCATGCCATCACTTTTCTCAGAAACCTCCTTGGATTCCAATCCCAGAGTAAAAGCCAAAGACTTAAGATGATCCTGAAAGCTCTAAGGTACCTCTCTGAGCTCCTCACTTATTCCATCTCACGGCATTTCCACTCCTCCCAGGCATCTGCGTAGCTGCCTCTTTAACCTCCTATAAGGCCCTACACTTAGAATTACCCCTCACCAACACTTCTTACCCCTCTTCCCTGCTTTAGTCTTCTACTTAGCATGAGATCTATTTTACTTATTTATCTGTCTCCTCCAGTGGAATGGAAGCATGCTCCATGAGGGCTGAGTTTTTGTCAGTTTTATCCACTGCTGAATCCTTGGGGTCTGGGTCTGAGCTTGGGAGAGAACAGACACTCTCCCAGCATTCAGCAAAGGAAAAAATGAACAATAAAGGTCTGTTTATTTCTCCAACTTCTCTTTATCCTCATTTCATCCTCTTCCTATGAGAACAGACTCCTTGTTCTGCATTCATCCCCTTCCGCTCCTCTCCCCAGCCCTCGAACACAAATCCACACATTTATTGACAAGAGATAGTATTACTGAGCAACTGCTCTGTGCCAGGGACAATGTGCAATGATTTCTTACATGCTTTTGTGGTAGATACTGCTAGAATTTAAAATGTTCACATTAGGGAGCTGAGATTCACAGAGATGAAGTGAGCTTTCCCAAAGTCCCACAGCTTACAAATGGTGAAGCTACCCAGTCTCTGACTTTGGAGTCAGCATATTTACCCTCTGGGTGAGCCTGTCTCATATTAGGAGGCTATCACACCCTCTCTGGCAGTTTGGGGCTCCAGATTTTCCTCACCTCTTTATCCTGGACTCATACTCTATCTTCTGTTTGGTCATTTCCTGCTTCAGGCTGGACACTAAACTATGCAGTGCGCTGTGATTGCTGGTGTGGCCAACAAAAGTCTCACTGTTGTCGCTGCTGCTGGTGGCACGACTACTTCGACCACCCACACTCCTCCGGTCACTTTTGTTTTCATAGTCCCCGGGGTGGGAAAGGTCGTCCTGTGGGGGCCCATCCAAAACGGGGTCCTCAAAATTCCCACCGTAAAAGTCTTGTTCCGGGCAGGTGGTGGTGGAGGAGCGGCAGGAGTTGGAGTTCTCAGGGAGGGAGATTTCACAGGAGGAAGTGGACCAGGTGGCACTGTCGATGCTCTGCTTGTCGTCAAGGCTCATCACGGAGAACTGTTGGTGGACGTTGTCATAGGTGGAGAGTCTGTTGTGCTGGCCCGACTCTCCAGCTTGCTCTTTCTGCTTGTTATCCCTCAGGGTCACGTAGCCATTGGGCAGCCAGCTCATGCTGCGACCATTCACGGGGTTCCCGAGGGTATCTGTGTTCAAAATGCCCATCCGCACCGTTCCGTTCTGTACACTGTGGGTGCCCATTTTGGTACCAGACCCCTTCAGGGAAGAGGTCCTTCTGGCCTGTAAGCTCCCATTGGGAGTGGTTTGGGCTTTCTCAAGTCCTTCTGCATTACTGCTGCTGAAGGACCCATTGGTGACTATCCCACTGCCCTTATTGAAGGCGGGATTCTTTTTGACCATGAGAGGGGGGCTCCTAGAGACATCCAGTTTGTGAACGCTATTCCTTGGGCTGTTGGTTTTGCTGCCTGATAGAGCTGTGGGGGATCCGTTATCCATGTTGCTTCTCTGGGGAGACTCAGACTTGTCCCAAGAGCACCGTCTTCCAGGACTGTCCTTGGTATTATTGTTCTCCGTGTTTTGTAGCTGACCCATGGTGGCTTTCTTCTGAAGGTCATTGTTGTTGTTGCTCACTCCATCCTGGGGCTTACTTTGCAACTCTGCATCTTTGGGGAAGAGGCGATCATGTTTGCTAATCATCATTGACATCAACTGTTGGACCACCACAGTGCCTGGAATTGCACAGAAAACAAAATAGTATGAGTGAAACAGTTTTATTTCTTATTTTGAATGTGACTCTTAAAGAGTTATTAAAGAGTTCAGGTGAACATTCAGCATTATTAGCAGTGCCAAACTATATTCTTAATGATGATAATAGCAATATTATCTATAGCAATATTAACTGCTAAAATTTCTTGAGCATTTAACATGAACTATACCAAGCACTTTACTTTTGTTAGTGTAGTTGGATTTAAAAAAAAAATCTATGAATAGATACTGTTCTATCTATCACTGTCTTATGAAAGTTAAATAACTTGATCAGCATCCCAAAGCTATTAAGGAGAAAATGCAGGGCTTGAACCCAGAATTAATTAGTTCCAAAGACCAGCCTCTTCATTGTCACACATTTCTTGGAAGTTTGACATTTAATTAGGAAAAACCTTTCTTTGAGGAAGTCACTGTTATCTCTCATCAGACAATTGCCTCAAACTATCAAGACATTTGTAGTGGCATCTCAAAGTGGAACCCTATAAAATCTCTAGTGGATATATGGTCTGTCTTTATAATATAGCAAGACAATGAAGTTCCATACAACTTTTGCTCAGCATTCAAAACCTTCAGGGCATTTTAAGTGACATTAGCCAAAATGGTATAATAAAGACCTACAAGAATCCTCTCCTCCATAAAAGCAACTGACAAAAATATTCTGAATCATCATTTGCAGAACTTTGGAAATTAAAGGCTTGTTGTAATCTGGAGAGTGTTTATTAAAAAAAAAAATCATTGAATCTTGGTACAGAACAGCAAGCACTGTGGTATTTTAACTCATCCTATTCCTATCCTCCTCTCTGCAGTGGCCTTGAAAACCAACAGCCCACAATCACAGTGGGAACCAGCAGTCTGGCAGCCACTGGAATGGGAAAAGCAGGGATGGAAATCCTTCAAAGTCCCATTCCCAAAGAATTGTCATTATTTTACTTGTTTGGTGGTTCCCTGGAAGACGCCACTCAAGAGGCTTGTCTTCATTTTATCTAAATAAGAATTTGACCAGGGTGAGCAACACTTTCTCAAGGCCATTTGTCAAAAACAATTAGGGGCTCTTTCATTTAAAATCATGTTTGCCTGAAGCAAGTGGATAACAGTTGAAGACAAACAATAGGCTAAACAAAAAGCTTAGAAGGAAAATCTGAGGAAAGAGACTTCCAAAGGAGGTGTTGAAAAGCTCTGCTTTATTCCTGAGAATTTAGAAGATTACATGCATGCTTAGGGTTCTGTGCATGCCTAGGGCTATATGCATGCTCAGGAAAGAACTGAGAAGTCCCCAAGCTCTCACCTCTGACTGATCTTGAGGCTCTGCACAAAAAGGATCTGAATGCTAAAGCAGAGTTGTAACCTTCCTGGCTGAGTGTTGAAAGTTTGCCCCAACATGAACACAGAGTGTCTTGGTAAAGACTGGGAAACTTATTAGCTCTAGTCTTTTAATCTTTGTTCAATCCTTAGCTGACAACTAAGTAAGCCAAGCAGAGACTTCAGTGGCCACGGATGACAAATAATATAGACTTTAGAGAATTATTTCAGAAAACTCACTAAAAAACCAAACAACAAACAGCAAAAACAACAAAGGGAGGGTAAGAATCTGATATCCAGAGTTCCCATATTATTATATTATTTAAAAAACATGCAGTTTTCAAAAAAATAATGCTACATGCAAAAAATAAACAAAGCATGGCCCATATACAAGGAAAAAAAAGAAAAAAAAAAAACAGACTCTGAGGAAACCCAGACACTGTACTCACTGGTCAAAGACTTTAAATTTGCTATTTTAAATGTTTTCTAATAAATGAAGGAACCAAAGGAAAGTGAGAATAATGTTTCGCCAAATATCAATAAAGAGCTTGAAAGTGTAGAAAAGAATCAAATAGATATTCTGGAGTTGAAAGGTACAATAACTGAAATGAAAAGAATCAGTAGAGGGGATCAACAGCAGACTTGAGCAGGCAGAAGAAAGAATCAGCATACCTGAAGACAACTGTGGTTACCCAGTCTGAGGAACAGAAGGAAGAGGAATAAAGACAAATGAGCAGAGCTTCAGAGACCTGTGGGACACCATCAAGCATACCAGCATAGGTGTAATGGTATCCCAGGAGGAGAGTAGAAAGAGAAATGAGCAGAAAGAATATTTGAAGAAAGAGTTGCTGGAATTTGAAGAAATTTGATGAAAAATATGAGTCTACACATTCAAGAAGCTCATCAAATTCCAAGCAAGTTAAATGCAAAAGGATCCAGACCTAGATCCATCATAGTCAAACTGTCTTAAAGAGAACCTTGAGAACAGCAAGAGATAACCAATTCATGTATAATGGATTCTCAATAAGATTATCAGCTGATTTTTCATCATTCTCATTGCCAGAATTATATTATCCAGCAAACCTATGTTTCAAAAATGAGGGACAAATAAAACATTCCTAGCTAAACAAAAACAGAGAATTTGCCAATAGCAAATCTGCTCTAAAGAAATATCAACACTTCAGGGCATTTTAAACAAAGAGAAGACCTTCAAGAAAGAAAATAATTCTCTTACACAAATGAAAATGCTAAGGTTCTCATTTGATCCTTATATTTATATTATTCACTGTAAAGTATGATTAGAAATCAATACCTTACAAGTTTCAGATAGTAAAAATAACTCAGACAACAGTGGATAGAAAGGCTAATCTATCATAAAAAGCAGTAATATTCTTTCTAAAAATTGGTGGATTTATCAGGTTTTATGGCATATTAGCTGAAACTCAAAATATATTTTCACATATTCCTCACTGACTTACATGCTGGGCTGCTCCCACCCCTTAAAATAGGCCACCACCACTAACTAGGCTTCTAAATTAGTTTCACAACTTTAGGTGTCCCAACCCCCTAAGAATCTTTTTAAGAATTTTATTCATATACCCACAATAAAGCAGTGTAGGCTCATGAAAGCATTAATCATCTTTGCTTTGGCTTGAACTATATTAATGTGGTGTGTTAACTGTGTTTCTTTTACCGTGTTGATAAAAGCTCCTAAGAGTAGTCTCTGATAAATAAATACAGGGAAACAAATTTTAGTTAGTAAAGGTAATATTATTTAAAATACTTAAATAAATTTGGTGAAGAAAATGATAAGTGCTTTTGACAATGAAGATATCTACTGAAATAGCTTCTAGTAGCTGTCAGAGAGTAGAAGCTTGACTTGGGATGAGGCCACTCATTAGCTTAAAGCAACACCTGGGCAAGATTTGACTCTGAATATAATTTATAGTCAAATTCTGAATAGGAAAATATGTGTTATATTCATCTATATCCTTCACACTTCTGTAATGATTCAAAACTTCTAACATATTTAGATTAGGAATCTGCAGTTTGTTAGGTCTGATGCTGGCCAGTGCTGCTCAAACATTAATGTTCATACAAATTATCTGGAGATTCTGTTAAAATGTAAATACTGAGTGGGGCATGAGATTTTACATTTCTAACCAGCCCCCAGATGACACCAACGATAACAAAATAGTAGCAATAGCAGAGCATAGAGGACCCACCACAGACAGACCTTCTGAATCAGAATTTCAGCAATATTCCCAGATTATTCCTGTGTGTGTTAGAGTTTGTGAAACTGTGTTAGGTGGAAATGTTTCACTTACATCTTCTAAATTTTCTCAGAAGGCTGTGAGATAGGACTTAACATTTTTCAGATGAGAAAATTGAGGTTCAGAGAGGTTACAGTTCTGCCCAGGGACACACAGATGATAAGTGACCAGGCTGAAATATGATGCTTCTTCATCTTCTCACTGCAAATCATGTACTTGTCCAACTATATTTCAGCTGCTGGATTTATTTATTTACTTATTTATTATTGGAGTAAAATTGCTTTACAATGTTGTTAGTTTCTGCTGTACAATGAAGTGAATCAGCTATACGTATACCCTCCCTCTTGGACCTCCCCCCCACCCCCACCATCCCACCCATCTAGGTCATCATGGAGCACCGAACTGAGCTCCCTGTGTTATACAGCAGGTTCCCGCTAGCTATCTATTTTACGTAGTGTATTTATCTCAAACCTAAACTCCCAATTCGTCGCACCCTCCCTTCCCCCCGCCCTGTGTCCATATGTCCATTCTCTATGTCTGCGTCTCTATTCCTGCCCTACAAATAGGTTCATCTGTACCATTTTTCTAGATTCCACATATATACGTTAACATACAATATTTGTTTTTCTCTTTCTGGCTTACTTCACTCTGTATGACAGACTCTAGGTCCATCCACATCTCTACAAATGACCCAATTTCGTCCCTTTTTATGGCTGAGTAATATTCCATTGTTTATATGTACCACATTTTCTTTTTCCTTTCATCTACTGTTGGACATTTAGGTTGTTTCCATGTCCTGGCTATTGTAAATAGTGCTGCAGTGAACACTGGGGTACATGTGACCTTTTGAATTATGGTTTTCTCACAGAATATGCCCAGTAGTGGGATTGATGGGTCACATGGTAGCTCTCTTTTTAGTTTTTTAAGGAACTTCCATACTGTTCTCCATAGTGGCTCTATCAATTTACATTCCCACCAACAGTGCAAAAGGGTTCCCTTTTCTCCACACCCTCTCCAGCATTTATTGTTTGTAGATTTTTGGATGATGGCCATTCTGACCGGTGTGAGGTGATACCTCATGGTAGTTTTTATTTGCTGCACTAATAATTATTTGCATCACTAATAATTAGTGATGTTGAGCATCTTTTCATGTGCCTCTTGGCCATCTGCATGTCTTCTTTGGTGAAATGTCTATTTAGGTCTTCTGCCCCCTTTTTAATTGGGTTCTTTGTTTTTCTGATATTGAGCTCCATGAACTGTTTGTATATTTTGGAGATTAATCCTTTGTCCATCGCTTCATTTGCAAATATTTTCTCCCATTCTGAGGGTTATATTTTCATCTTGTTTATGGTTTTCTTTGCTGTGCTAAAACTTTTAAGTTTAATTAGGTC